TTAACAGTTTAAAAAAATGCTTTGTTATCCTTTCCAAAAGACAGGTGATTTTTGGTTAATTGGGAAGGGGGGTATGTGGATTGGGACTAACCAAGAAGGAAATGCAGGATCCAATGATGTTCCTATCCCTATTAATTAGATAGGATAGTCCTAGTGCACTAAGGTCTTATAATGTATGGGGTCCAGGGAAGGATGGATCACAAGTTTTACTTAGTGTCAAGGCTCCCCCTGACATCTTATGTGAATTGGGACAATCCAAAAAGGAAATGCAGGATCCAACAACGTGTATTAAGTTTCCACTTTTCAGGGTCTAGAGAGGGAACCATATTTTTTTGATGAAGTGTTTTATAAATCACAAAGGCATCAACAAGATGCATAGTTACAAAAGAGGAGATATCAGCTAAAAAGATAACAAAGACCTAACAAAATCTAAAGAGGAGACCATATTTGATCTACTGATCTACTGCAAAACAACATTATTTTGCATTCCTGCAAAAGCTATTTTTGTTACGTGTCTCATGATCTGCTTCGAATGGGTCAGAGACTTCAACTGATTATTAGGAGATAAGTTTTCTCTTAGTCATTATCTTATTAACTAGTTATAGTTGTTCCTATTTTATAGGCATGTTAGCAGTCTTTTAGAAGTCCATGACTCCATGTTGTGGAACTGCCCCTCTACTTATTTAATCAGCTTGAAGTTCAATAAAAGTTTACCATTTTTCAGATTTCAATTCATCTTGCTGTTTCAGTTAATTAATAACATTGGTATCAGAGCCCTACTTCTTAAGGGACTTGTGTGAGACTTGTGAGGTTCTTTTCCAAGTGTTTATCCATATATTATTCTCTGCAAACACCATTAAAAAAATGGAGAATGCTGGCTTTTTTCCTGTAATGGCTCCACCAGTTCTCGATGGAGAAAACTATCAAGCCCGGGCAGTGAAAATGCAAGTTTATTTGGAGGCTAATGATTTGTGGGAGGCTGTCGAGGAAGACTACGAAGTGCATCCTCTCCCAGGGAATCCAACTATGGCTCAGATTAGAACCCACAAGGAAAAGAAGACAGGAAAATCCAAAGTTAAATCTTGTCTCTTTGCTGCAGTTTCTGCCACCATTTCAGTAGAATAATGACATGTAACTCAGCCAAAGCAATTTGGGATTTCCTCAAGAAAGAGTACGAGGGAGATGAAAGAATCAGAGGAATGTAAGTACTGAACTTGGTTAGAGAATTCGAGATGCAGCGTATGAAGGAATCAGAAACCATTAAGGATTATTCTGATAGGTTTGCTTGGGATTGCCAATAAGGTAAGGATACTTGGAAATGAACTTACTGATAATAGAATAGTTCAAAAAATACTTGTAACTTTACATGAGAGATATGAGGCAACTATTGCTTCATTGTAAAATACTAAAGATCTGTCTAAGCTTAGCTTGGCAGAGTTATTGAGTGCACTGCAGGCACAAGAATAAAGAAGAACGATGGGGCATGAGGGATCCATTGAGGGAGCCTTGCAAGCCAAGTTGCAGTTCAGTTCAAGTGCCAGGGGAAACAAAGGAAAAGGAAAGAAAGGGAATCATGGAAACTACGAAGCAACAACAGCGAGAAATGGTGTTTGCAACTGGCAACAACAAAGAAGGTAAATATCCTCCCTGCCAACATTGTGGGAGGAAAAATCATCCACACTTCAAGTGTTGGAGAAAACCTGATATGAAATGCAGAAAGTGTCACAAGCTCGGTCATGCTGAGATTATATGCAAAGAGAAGGGATTACAACAACCAAATGATGCACAGATTGCAGACCAACAAGAAGATGAGCAACTATTTGTGGCCACCTGTTTCGCAAGCAAAAATTCAAGTGAAAGTTGGCTTGTTGATAGTGGTTGTACGAACGACATGACCAGTGATGAAAAGCTATTCAGAGAACTTGATAGATCAGTTAAATCAAGAGTTAGGATCGAAAATAGAGAATACCTCCCAGCGAAAGGAAAGGGGACTGCAATTGAAAGTCACAAAGATACAAAACTTATTTATGAAGTTTTATTTGTTCCTGAAATTGATCAAAATTTATTAAGTGTTGGGCAACTCCTAGAAAATGGACTTAAATTATTATTTGAAGATAAAGCGTGCCTGATCAGTGATCCTAGTGGTCAGGAAATATTCAGAATTAAAATGCAGGGAAAAAGTTTTTCCTTGAATCCATTGAATGAGGAACACAACTTTTCCAAGCCAGCTCACTGTAGCGGAAACGTGGCACAAAATGTTGGGGCACTTTCATCACAAAGCTTTATTGTTTATGCAAAGGAGCAAAACGGTAAATGGTTTACCCAACATGGAGGAGAACATTTCAAGTTGTAAGGCTTGCGTGCTTGGCAAGCATACTAGACTTCCATTTAAAAGTTCCACTTGGAGAGCTACAGAAAAATTGCAACTCATTCACACCGATCTTTGTGGTCCACAAAGAACTCCATCACTCAATGGCAGCAGGTATTATATTATTTTTATTGATGATCTTTCAAGAATGTGTTGGATTTACTTTATGAAGTTTAAGTCTGAAGCTGCTGGAATTTTCATGATGTTCAAAGCTTGGATAGAAAATAAAAGTGGCTGCAAGATTCACGTCATTAGGTCAGATAATGGAACAGAATATACCTCAGATATGTTCAATTCTTTTTGTGAAGAAGCTGGAATTGAGCACCAGCTTAGTGTCCCATATTCTCCACAGCAAAATGGAGTGGGTGAGAGAAAAAAAAAGAACAATCATGGAGATGTCGAGATGCTTGTTGCATGAGAAGAATCTACCAAAGAAGTTCTGGGCTGAAGCAGCAAACACTGTTGCTTTCTCGCTGAATAGACTGCCTACGCGGGAAGTGGAAGGAAAGACTCCATTTGAAGCATGGTATGGTGTCAAACCTGTTTTGAAAAACCTCAAGATATTTGGATGTCTATGGTTTTCTTATGTGCCACAGGTTAAGAGAGACAAGCTAGATAAGAGGGCAAATTCGGGAATTTCATTGCCTATAGCTTATTTTCTAAAGCTTATAGGATCTTTCAACCTCAAACATACAAGATTATGGTAAGTAGAGACATTCAATTCCTTGAAGATGAGCAATCAGAATGGAATGAGGGGTCTCGAGTTAAAAAACATAATTCACAACTTGATTATGATGACTTGGTGGATGATCAACCAATTAGGGGAACAAGGTCACTCTCTGATAATTTTGAGAGATGCAATACTGCTGTTTTTGAACCTGCAGGATATGAGGAAGCAAAAATGGATCAAAATTGGACAAATGCAATGAAGGAGGAGCTCACCATGATAGAAAAGTACCAAACTTGGAAGCTCGTGGAAAGACCCCAAGATAGAAAATTGATTGGAGTTAAATGGATTTTTCGAACAAAGTTAAATCCAGATGGTTCGGTAAACAAACACAAAGCTAGATTGGTGGTGAAAGGCTATGCACAAGTTTCGGGAGTAGATTTTTCTGATACTTATTCCCCAGTAGCCAGATTGGATACAATTCGGATGCTTTTGGTTATTGTGGCACAGAAAAGTTGGAAGATTTTTCAAATAGACGTGAACTTTGCTTTCTTGAATGGTCTACTACAGGAAGAAATATATGTTGAGCAGCCAGAAGGGTTCAGCGTACCAGGACATGAAGATATGGTTTATCTGTTAAAAAAAGCTCTATACGGACTAAAGCAAGCTCCTAGAGATTGGTACAGCCGAATGGATAATCATTTGCTAGGCTTAGGCTTTGAAAAAAGCTTAAGTGAATCGACTCTTTATATCTAGAAAGTAGCCTCTGACATTATTATTATTTCTCTGTATGTCGACGATTTACTTGTGACAGGAAATAATACAGGGCTGATTGAAGAATTCAAGGAGGAAATGATGGAAGTCTTTGAGATGACTGATCTTGGCGAGATGACTTATTTTCTGGGAATGGAGATCAAGCAAACTCAGAATGAAGTTTTTGTTTGTCAAAAGAAATATATGAAGGAGATTCTAAAAAGATTTAGAGTGGAAGAACGCAAGAGTGTATGTTTTATCCAAGTTTTTAAATTGCAGCTGGAGCAAGTAGAGAGCACTGAGATCCTTGTCGATAATCAAGCTGCTATAGCCATATCCAATGATCCCGTGTTTCATGTTAGGACCAAGCACTTCAACATCAAGTTTTATTTCTTGAGGGAAGTGCAGAAAAATGATGAAGTGGTTTTACTCTACTGCAAATCAGAGAATCAGGTGGCAGACATTTTTACTAAGTCATTTCATGTTAGCAGATTCGAATTTCTAAAAGAAAAGTTGGGAGTTTGCAGCTCCTGATTCAGGAGTGTTGTTACGTGTCTATCTGCTTTAAATGGGTCAGAGACTTCAGCTGATTATTAGGAGATAAGTTTTCTTTTAGTCATATTATCTTATTAATTAGTTATAGTTGTTCCTTTTTTATAGGCATGTTAGCAGTCTTTTAGAAGTCCATGACTCCATGTTCTCTGTTACTGGAACTGCCCCTCTACCTATTAAGTTCAATAAAAGTTTATCATTTTTCAGATTTCACTTCATCTTGCTGTTTCAGTTAATTAATAACAGCTATTTTCACAGCTTGAACATATGGCAATCCAATAACATGATGACAGCTTTTACTGTTACACAAAAGTTCCCTTGAAGAAATAGATTACATTCTTCCTTTTGATAAGAAGAGAGTACATTCATAATATAATATAAATATTTACATAAACATCTACCCTGCATTCTCAAAATAGCTCTCTTTTTTATTCATAGAAGCTTATACACTAACTAGAAATTAACTTTGTTTTCCACTTGATGGGCAAACAACATCACCAAGTGAAACATATATGATAATAAATCTGTAACAGAGAAGATCTAACCATGCATGAATAAAGGTACAAACAAACTTGGAGTACTTTTACACTGTAAGTAATGCAAGCTCATTCTCAGGTACAGAATTCAACTAAAACTGCAACCAACATATATAAAATTTACCTCATAGACAAATAAATTTACAGACTCATTGTCAGGTGCAGACCCACGGCCTCTGCATTGAATCTGATACACATGAAACAGTAAAATAAGAACAACAACCAGAACTCAAAGAGAAAAAATCACGCCCCCGCCACCTATTCTCCTCCATGACTTTATTACCATGCACCAACCTTTACATGCTTGATGCCTTCTTTCCTCCAATCTGACAATGAATAGTATCGACTTGTATTGGTGAGATCAATCACCATACCAAGCTGAAATTAACATGCAATGAGTCAGTTGTAGTTTAGAAGCTCCTGTGCTGTCAAGGTAACTCAAATGAATGAAGGGGTCAGAGTAAACAGGGCATCTAATGATAGTGAAAGTAACCCAAACAAATTAAGAGGACAAGAATTTACAAGACATATAATGATTATATCGTACCAAGTGGCAAAACAAAATAGGATATAAGCCTCAGCTTTGACATAAAACATATCCAAGATAGTGATATAAAACATGTATAAGAGCATAATTCATATGCAGTAGCTTATTAACTGATTCAACTTGTTATTTAAGTCAAAATTAGAATCTAGAGGACATATACAACAAAAAGCACTACCAACAAGGCAACAACGAAACAAGAAAAACTTCAAACAACAAGAAAAGCTTCAATCTCGTGATAACATTTACGAATCAAACTTATTTTATCGTTGAAGGTCCTTCATTGAAAAAAACAGCAGAGGGAACAGTTTATCATTGCTGTAAGGAATCAAATATTTTGAAAACAAATCCACATCAAGTGAATGAATAAGGACCCAAATTTAGATCAACACACTCACTTTTCTTCCTAAAACTCTCTGTTGGTGGAGGACTTGCCTAAACGAGTATCTTTTGCCAGGAAGAACACAATCATTGAAAGTTTCATCCAATGGAACCTTTGAAGGAATAATACACCCTATCTCCTGTCCAAATGCAGGACAGTCCAACCAACCTGCATAAGCAATCGAAAAGATGAATGATGTAATCGAACCTTGAGCAGCAAGGAAGAGGGAAAAAGGAGAGAAATAAGAACCTGTGTTAAGATGATAGTCAAAGAAGGCACCGTAAAGTTATGTGCAATCTAGAGTTACACTAACATGACAAGAACAAAGAGAAAGATGGACTACACGGAGGGAAGCAGGAACCTATTGCTACTTCAACAAATCATAAAACACACACACACACAGCAAAGGAGATAAGTGACACACAATAGAGAAAGAGTGTGTGTCTGTGCACAAAAAAAAACCTGGAGGAAGTCTGCTGCTTGGCTTCTGTCTCTTCGTCTGAAAGATCTCATCCCGCATTCGTGGTTGAGATGGATATGCAGGTCTATCATCTGGATGTTGTCTTTTAAGTCTTTGAATCCTTTCCTCCCGCTCCTAAAACAGACAGCATTTAGAAAGAGGGCATACAAACTAGAAAATACTTTTTTGACGGAGTAGAAAAATATAGATTTAAAGAAGAAAATGGAAGTCTCCACAATAATAAGATTCACAAGAACATACCCCTATCTATGGGCAGTCCCCTATCCTTTCTACTATCATAGAATGAAGCGATAAAGAAGCAAGTTCTATTTCTTTATTTTCTCCCCTTTTAATGGAGACGAGATTGTTAAAAGGAGGTATGAAGTATGCAATGCAACCAAAAATAGTTCAATTTCGATCAGTCAGATAGCTGTCTTGGAGGTAACCAGATGACCAACAACAATGCTGAATTCCCCACTGCTCAACAACCACTCTTCCTCTTCCATTTGAAGAGAGGGGGGGGGCTATTACAGGAGGAAAGAAAAATAAGTTAATCTGCGTAGTAACCATGTTCCTTCCTAAAATAACTCTTAAGATTTATCAGACGTCATAGGCACCTCGAGCAAGTAGGGGTTTCAACTTTCAGGATTCTTACTTTTTGGTAATCAATTCCATCCTCTGGATTTTGATTTGATGAAATTTTACTTCATTTGATTTTAAAAAGATAGAGGCAGCACACAAAGCTTTCTACTGGTTATTACTCTGTAAAGACAAGCAGCAAAGAGACAACCAATATAAAAGAGACATGTATCAAACAAAGAGGCCAAAAAGAATATCAAATAAAGGAGCAAGTTAAGGTAGTAGTACAGCTCAATAGTTGATATAGAGAGCAAAATGAACAGAAACATACGCGACGTGAAATCTCTACAGCAGTAGTGACATAATCTGCACGTTCGTCGCTATGTAATATAATAGGTTCTTGCGGTTCATCTTCTAATTGTTGTCCAAAAATCTCGTCATCATCCTCTGGCTGTGGCAAGGCATTCAGATCCATGCTGGTGATTCAAGTCTGAACATAAAGCATATGTCAAGGGTCTTGTAAGCAATGTATAGTTCTGTTCCTACAACAAACAAGAATGACATCGAATTGTTCAGACCAAAAATAAGCTAATAATCTTATACGACAACAGAAAAGGCTGAATTTATTCAAATGTAAATGCATCGTGCAAATATTAGAACTTAATGAACCAAACAAACAGCATAAATTTGGATATTAAAGAAATACAAAATTAACACAAAAGGAAACAATGCTAAACTAGATGATATGAAAACAACAATAGTTGACTCTAATTATAGAATACAACCCTTTCAGGGCCAGATACTAAAGAGCAAAAAAACATATCAACCCAAAAGACGTATACAGATCTCCAGAGTGTCATCATCATTTGGGTTTCATTTGGTGTCACCCAGTGTTTTGGACGGCGAGAGGCGACAAAAGGCGACAAGGGCCTGCCTCGCCACGCGGCGAGGCGCTCGCCTTTTTGAATTGAGGCGCCATTAATACCAAAAATTAAAAACATTTAATTGCACATATAATATTCAAAATATCAATAGCAATTACATATATTACAAATACTACAATAATTACTATAGAAGGATTATTTTTTTTCAAAAAAATAATGGACAGCAGTCACAACACAGTGAAAGCAGAAAGCATTTTACAGTAATCCGGGACAAAACAGAGTGAAGAAAACAGAGGGAAAAAAAAGAGTAGTGAAGGCAGGGAGCAGCAAAGAGAAAGAGACGAATGGAGCAGCAACTCGAGGGAAAGAGACGAAGAAGAGAGCAGCGACTGCGGAAGAGAAGAAGAGTGCAACGACTGAGGAAGAGAAGAAGCAACAGCGACTCGAGGAAGAGAAGTAGAGGAATACACGAAAGTCTGATGAAAGTTTGAAAATAGAAAAAAAAACTAATATTATTAAGTTAAAACTTTTTTAAAAAAAAATCAGAATGGCGACGCCATTTACGTCGTCATTGGGTCGCCTCGACTCGCCTATTTGAGGTCGCCTCGCCGTAGTGGATAATGGCGACACAGCCTCGCCTCGCCATTCGCCAAAGGCGCTATGGCAAGCGCCTTTCACAACACTGGTGTCACCAATACAAGAAATCGTCAATTTTGAAGGAGAGAATAATTGTTTATGAATGACCGTAGTCATGAAGCAACAAGGCAAAGAACTGGTAACTCTCTACTTTAGCAGAAATAATCCATGACAGTTTGTGTAAGTGTAATTTGAGAAGTTGAGGAAATGTGGGAAGGGTACATGAATTCCCTTTGAGATATTATGTACATTATACACGATTTTACTTTTATGCTCCATCCAGAGTTCGCAATTCAAAGCTAACTTTGTTTGCTTTCGACATTGATGCATAGACACGTACAAAACAAAGGAAAAAGGGTACTCCAAAGATTAAGAAAGTTAAATATATTTGTTATTTGAACTAGAAAGTATATTAAGCATATGATCGAAGGGAAAGAGTGAAGATTTTGTTGAATAACAAGATACAATTAAATGAGGGACTGTGAATATATGACTTTCACAAAGAAAAGTTTGGCATTTAAAGAAAGGGGACAAGTGAACATAAGGGGAGAAAATAGGATAAGTGAACACACTTAAGTGATGAGTCTTCTACCAAACAAAAGACAAAAAAAATGAGTGCTTGAGGAAGTACTTATAAAAGAATTTTTGTTTGCTTATGATCCTAAATAAATATAAGTTCATTGGCAAAACCTAATGCTAACTTGTAATACTAAATACAAGTTCGTTGGCAAAATTGAATCAGATGAATCAACCCTACAGGCACCAGTGTTTTGGATGATGAAAGGCGATAAAAGGTGACAAGGGTCCGCCTCGCCACAAGGCGAGCGCAAGGCACTCGCCTTTTTCAAGTGCGGCCCAATCAAAGAAGGAAAAAAGAAACAAAGGAAGAAGGAAGAAGAAATATGAAGGAGAAAAGAAGAAGAAGAAGAAGAAGAAGAAGAAGAAAGAAGAAGAAATACATATTGGTTGGATTTTGGAGTCGCCGGAAAAGTCTGGCTAGTCGTCCGAGGAGTCTAGTCAAAAACCTAAAATTACTCTAAATTGGTCGCCTTTTTAAGGAAAATACAAAAGTGACGCCTTTCTTGCCTCTCGTCTTTGTTGCCATAGTGTCATCATTCGAAGATCGCCTTGGCACAGAGCTAAAAGGTGATGAAATATCGCATCGCCTTGCCTCTCGCCATTGGCAACAAGGCAATCGCGTTTCACAACACTAACAGACACTAAGTGGAGAATAGTCACAAAATAGGCAGAATAGTAGACTTGCATTGAAAAAAAAATGCCCAAGCACATCTATCGAGGTCTTCTCAAGATTGCAGAACAACCTCTTTCCGGAATTTGAACGGACTGATAGCTCAGCTTACTGTGGTTGCTCTCAAACTCTTCTTTCTCTTTCTTTTTCTTTCAAATTTCACAACCTGTCATCTCTGACAACATCTCCTTTTCTCTTCGTTCTTTCATTTAGGCCCACAGATATTTGAGTATGGAAGACAATTGGTTATACTTCAATGCTGGATTCAAATCCTTTGATATTACCAGGTGGCCAGATAGCAAAAAGAGCTAATATGAATCTGTAGGAAGTAGTCGTAGCATCATGAGACAATAGACTCTTAGCACAAGGACTATGTCTTGGATCTGCAACATTCTCAAGAGACATAGAAAGAGAAGACAAATTCGATCAAAAGATGGAAAACGAAGCACAAACAATCAGAGACATCTGTATTAAATAGGTTCCTCAGATCGGGTTGTGGGAATACATAAAACTTGATATGTTGTCTCTGCGTTACATAAGCATACATGAGCATCTAGAGGGAAGGAAAAGGCTTACTTAACAAGTGTGGCATTAGAGAATTTTGTGAGGAGTCTGAAAAAATCACATTGTCGGATACAAAGAGATGGACTAGCATCGCTTAGGTGGCTGCCTTTGGGGCCAACATTTATGATATGGACGAGAATATGTTCTTGTTTGAGTTCCCAAACAGGAGTATGGCATGACAAATTTTGTGGAGGCTAGGGGATAGAGGACAAGAAAGATTAGTGTGCTCCGGTGGAGCCATACAATAGGTTGTTGTCTACCAGCTTCCAGAAGATTAATATGAGCAGCAGGATCCCACTTCACCTTTGGTCGCAAAAGGTTTTCACTTAAATTGGAAATATATGTGGCGGATGGGTGGTTACTAAGTAAGAAATTGAAATCAAGAACCATCTCAAGTAGGCGAGAATCAAAATCGAGGGGATGACTGGAATTGTCCAAGTGAAGTATCCAAAGAAAGAGATGGGTACAAGTATCACTTTTTCCGATATTGATCAAAACAGAAAGCGAGATTTGAAAAGAAGTTGCAAGTGATACAGGGAATCAAAGAACCTATAGGATCAAAGGCTTCTTTTGAGTTTGGACCCGTGGGGCAAAGGAGTTAAACATTGTGGAAAAATAGTATGATTACATGCAAATTTAGACTGTATCAATGATGGACGTGGAGACAATTGTTCAAAACCTAGGTCAGTTGAACATACTACATAAGTGTCAATTGACAACCTTAGGGGCCATTTGTAGCTGGTTTGGGGATGAATCATGCAGGAATTAAATTTGCAAAAGTAATATCACGTTTTGATAGTTGTTTAGGAAGTATGTTATCAATCAATAAAATTAATACTGTGTATACTGAATAGTTTGCAATTTAGAAATTCACATAACTAATACATGTATAAGTTATGAGGAAACCAATGTATTTATTATGCAGGAAAGAAGATGGAATAAGTAAACCCTACACACTAATCCCAGCATAAAAGAAATACATAGATTCCCTCATAATTCGTTCATTATTAATACCTGCATAACTTTAACCAACTACCAAAAGAACTTTTTTTGAAGAAGAAGAACTATCAAACAACTTCTAAATGTATAGAGCTAACTCCCCTTTGAACACAGGAAAGGGTACCACATTACATTCATGTTATAGAAGGTTGGTCCCTCCATGCAATAATGCAATTGTCCTTTCAGTAAGTTGGTTATTATCCCCATACAATTGATACTTCGAATGTAATGTGGTACCCTGCCTTGTCGTTCTTGAACACAGGGGAGTTAGCTTTATACATTTAAGAGTTAATTAAACTTCATTTAAGCTTATTTTAACAGCTAAATAACATTAACTATGGTATCATGCCTTGTAATGCATGAACACAAGGGAGTTAGCTCTATACATTTACGAGTTAATTGAACTTTATTTGAACTTATTTTAACAACTAAATACCATTAACTCTAACCAGTTTAAAACTAATTCCATCAACTAAATCCACCAACTAAACCATATTACTTCAAATAATTGATCAAACTAGGGGTAATCAAATATTATTTGAACTTATTTCAACAACTAAACTATATTAACTCTAACTAGTTTTAAACTAATTCCAACAATTAAATCAACTAGCCAAACCACATTATTTCAAATAATAAATCAAACTAGGGGTTAATTAAACTACATATGAATTAATTTCAACAATTAAGCCACATTAATGTTAAATTAGTTCCAAATTAATGCCAATAGGATCAACTAGTGTTGTTGTGTATGCTTAATACACTCATTATCCTTAAATTTAAAGCTAAGTATAAGCACTAGATGAACACAAATTGATCTTGCAAGAAAAACAATTTTGTCATCAATAGGATCAACTAGTGCTGGTACTCATACTTAACAAACACATTATCCCTAAATTTAAAGCTATATGTAAACCCCGGATCGGCACAAATTGATTTTGCAAAAAAATCAATTTTGTCGAAATCAAATATAGCAAGCAAGTCACTAATTTGTTCGGCTTACAGCTTCATTCCCAAAGTAAGGAGAAAGGGAATAGCTTCGAGAGGGACTTTTCCGAGTAAAGAGATAAAAACCGGTAAGATTTATTCTAATTGAGTAGGTGAAGAGTCTCTTCCAAGCGAGATCCTTTACCACACCTAACTAAATGAAAGAAAGTAAGAGAGAGTGGCGGCCTATGTCTTAAATGAAAATGAAGGACTTCCTTATCCTAAGGTTGTCACTGAATGTATCATCACATCGCCTCCGACAACTTCTTGTGCTTTGTAGTTACACCTCTTATCCTTCCTAAGTGATTCATAAGTCTCTCTTAGTTTAGACTTCTAAAGACTATTTGCACCGTTGTTCCTACTTAGCTTGTGAGGGATTGCTCTTGTTGTTCTAGTGTTATAGATTTATAAGAGTAGAGTGAGTACTAATCTAATTAAAAAAAAGGTGGGGGAAGGTGTATGGTTGCATACAGTGAAAGATTTGGCATAGTAGAGTGAGTGTCACTGGTTGTTAAATTTGTTTGTAAGTATCTGCTCTACCCCAACCCACTCTCCTCCTTTAGGTATACGGTTGTTAATGTGTACACCATCGTTATCAATAGGATTAAGTAGTATTAGAATTTATGCTTAACAAACACATTATCACTAAAGAAAACCCTAAAAATTCGAACAAACCCTAAGCAAAATGCATGTGTGGTACATAGAATAAGACAAAACTAATATATACAATAATTAAACATTTGGAGGGAAAAATACCTCAACTTTTTTTAATTAGGGCTGGAGATGGAAGTGTTGGCAGCAGTTGGCTCGACAGCATCAGCGATTGGATACTTTAATTGGACTGTAACCATGCACTTAGAATTTCATACACTAAATTTATTAGTACATTTTATAGTTGTCGAACTTTTCCTTTAAAAAAAATACTTTTTTAACAACAACAGATAGATATCATAAACGACTTAGAAAACAAATAAATATACTCATATAAATTGCTAAATGCCATAGTTCAATTTGATACATTTCCTAAACACAATACCTCTTTCTAAATAAAAGACAAGACAACAATGCCATATTTGACTTCCTATGTTCCAAAAACACAATACTGTTATTGCTAGCAATTTCGTGGAAAAGACACTGGCAGAAGGCAAGTGACCATTCCAAAGATCAACTTGCAATTATTGCAATATCTTAATAAGCTGTTGTGGGTCTTTTTTTCTTTTTGAAGTCTTTTATGGAAGAATCAGAAATTGGGGACTTGAAGTCTCTGGTCTTTGTTGGAAGAATCAGAAATTGGGGACTTGAAGTCTCTGGTCTTTGTTGGAAGAATCAGAAAATGGTGAATTGAAGTCTCTGGACTTTGATAGAAGAATCAGAAAATGGCAAATGTAGCAGTGTGATTTCTTGCGGAGAACTTGATACAGCTGCTAGGGGACAACGTAGAGTCAGGGAGTTAGCTGGAGAGATCAACGCTATACGAAACAAAGTCAAAGAGATCCGACAGAATGATGCCATTGGCCTTCACGCCCTTCACAATGATGATCTATATGATCGAATGATCTATTGCAATTGAAGTCTCCGGATCCAACAAATTAGTTAACTAATTTTATTACCTTTGAGATTGCAGAATGGAAGTGCAGCGCTACTGCGATGTGAGGCGGGATGCTACGTGCGGCGGCCTGCGACGTGCGGAGCTGCTGCGACGGCGACGTGCGAGCTGCTATGACAGCGACGGCGATAGCGATGTGCGAGTTGCGAGTTGCGAGTTGCGAGCAGCGTGACACTGAGGCTCGAGGGGACGTGTTTCACCTGAGACAACACTTAGGGTTTTGAGGGAAAGGAAAAAATTATTGCCATTAATAACAAAATTATCCACCCATAGAAGTTGATTTCTTTTAAAAAAAAAAAAAAAAAAACTGAATATACTGACCTTAGGATCTCCATAATCTTTAAAAATCTATATATAGATATATATATATATACATATATTTAAAAAAGATGTAGATATTGCCAATTAACATTATTAAATATCTATAATAAATAGTGACAGAAAATTTGATATTGATTAAATTATATAATTTAAATATACCGGTTGAGATCGGTGCTTATTAATTTCTTTTAGGGAAAATGGTCAAAAATACCTCCTCCTTTGATTCTTAGTCGATTATTTTTTTTAAGCTAAACGGATGGGTCAAGCCCCTTTATTAATAAAAAAAAATTCAAAATGTACAATAATAAACCAGACCCAATAAAGACCCGATCCATAAACCTATTCTAACAAAGGAAATATAGGAAACAAAATAGGAAAAGGAAAAAGGGGATCGGATAAGAAAGTTCTTCTCCATTGCAGACCTATATATGAAAAGTATCCCACTTTTTAAAAGCATACCCACCTAAACCCATACATTGGATGTAACCCTACCTTCATCGGGGTTCTTTTTCACAAATTAGGGGAACTCTATCGGTGGAAGAACCCACAGATGAAAAGCTTATCATACCTTAAACAAAGCCTAAGCACAAGTCTTTAGCAATTGACCCTTTGTTCTCGACCTTAACTTCAACCCTAGCTTCTTCTTCAATTGAGGTTCTTCTTAAGGAGAGAAACATTCTTTGGAGAGGATGAAGTTGGGTTTTCTTTTTATTTTATGGACAATGACTTAATTGAGGTAAATTAGGTCTAGTTAACTTATATACTTTCTAGGAAAGTAGTGGAGAAGTGTTGGTTCAAGTTTTGGAGAGATTACTTAAAGACCCCAACTTAAAACATAAAAACATACCTTTCCCACGTTGTAGATCGCCCTTTGGCACACTTTGGTTAGCCAAAGCATAAGCAACTCGCCTAATGCTCCTTCGTCCGCCCAATTTAACAGTACTTCCCTAAATGGGTAGTGCTTCACTATTTCGGGCATAACTCTTTACCCCAATATTAGAACTGTAACAACCCTAAAAATGAACTAGGTTAATATACAGACTATCATGAGTGCTATAAGTTAATAAGGTGTTAAAAATGAATAATATTTATAGAAGTCAAATTGAAGAGTTTGGAAGTCAAAAGTCGAAGAACAACCAAGACGTTCGAAAAGTAGTCTTGTGTATGTGCTAGTGTGTCCTTGTATGTTGTGCATGTTTTAAGGTATTATTTGGAGTCTAAAATTAGTGGGATGACCCTAGTACATAGAGGGACATACCTAGGGTCAAAACGTCCTAGCATGACTCCCTAAGGACCAACCAAAGGGTCCTTGAGAAGGACCTAAACATGGGCCAAAGAAGCTGTTGAGGCAGCCCATATTTGGAGACCATGGCACGTCGCTCTTGCAACATTTAAAAGGCAAAATTTTTGCCTTGCGATGTGGGCTCAACACGAACCATTCAGTCTCAAAATTTTCTAGAACTAAGAATTGGAAGTGTCCCCGTGACGCGCAGCCACGTTCAAGATATGGTCGCATCATTTTTAAGTCAAATTAGACTTGGTTAAAAGGTCCAATAAGTTTAGGGGTATTTTGGGTACTTCGGGGTTTATTTATTGACTGTTATTGGGTAATCTTAAACCCCAAATTCACCAATCAAACCAAACCCTCAATCCAAAACAAAATGTCTCCATTCTTTCTCTCTAAAAGCTCCATTGTTGAAGCTTTGAAGCTCCTAAGAAGAAGACCAAATTCTCCAAGTTTTTTCAACCCAATTTTGTGGGCTTTTTACCAATAATATATGGTGATTTCATCTTTGATTCTTCTTCCATTCAAGGAGCCAACTCCAAAGATTTTTCAAAGATGATAAAAAAACATAGAAAATCCTATTTTATATTCTAAGCATGAGTTCTTGCATGAAAAGTTTAAAATAATGTTTTGTGAAGTAATTGATGTTAATTGAATGTTTTAAGATAAAAAAAAACTCCATATACCCATGTTTTCTTTGAATTCCTAATTTTGACTCTAAATTGGGTGAATTGATCATGACTTCAACTTATTGAAATCATGTGTACATTGTATTTGACTATTGAATTACGTATTGATCCATGTTAGAATTGTTATAGTTTGCCTTATAATGTTGATATCTATATTGAGTATTGTTGGATCATTGATATGGATGAATCTTTGGCCTAATAATGTGTATATTGTTGTTGTAAAGATCTCTTGTTATGTGAAATTGTTGGAAAAGCTAAGGAATGGTGACGATGGCTATTGGAAGGTGGTGAGTTGACCTAATTCCTTTGTTTGACATAGAATTGATATTGAATTGTTGTTGATTGGTATGGTCCACTTATGGTGGCGGTGTTTGATTGTAATATATGTTATGAACATGGCCTTGTCGGCATTATTATGTAAATAATGGTATGTAGGGGTGTTCATAGTTAGATTTGAATCGTTATTGATTAAAACCAAAACCAAACCAATCTAGTTGTTTTTTTATGTTTCTAAAACAAAACAAAACCTAACGAAAAAAATAACCGTTGGTTTGGTTATTGTCAGTTTTGTTCGGTTTTATTGATTTATTCAGTTTGAAAGTAATAATTTTTTTGAGGACGTACGTAACTTGATAGACACAAATACCAACTACATGAACAATTTACTATTAAGCGAATGTCAGTTCATCAAGCAATATTAGAGTTATCATTACACGAACAAAGTGATTCATTTAAGAGAAAGTGTGACTATTTTATGTGAAGTACAGTAGGTAAAGACTAAAATGAATTTTGATGAACTTGGATTTGAGATTGTTATATTTGACCTAAGTGTTGGGCTTGAGAAAATGGTAAAGTTAAAGACTAAGTTAATTAAATTTCAACAAAATATTTTTAATCTATTTATGAATAATATATAAATAATTATAATATTTATATATCTAATTTATCGGTTCGGTTTGGTTTTCTTTGCGGTTGTTTTTTAGTAAAACAAATACCAAACCAAATAGTATTTTTTTTCAAAATTTAAAAACCAAAATAAACCAAAGATCAATTTTTTAAAATCGGTTTGGTTTGGATTGGATTATTGTTTGATTTGGTTGTTAACCGTAACCATGAACAACCCTAATGGTATGATCATGATATATTATATGTGAAGTTATAAAGTGAAGGTGCTCGTGTATTGCCTATATGATCTTCTATGGGTGCTATAATGATATGATTGGATATGTTTCTTCTCTAGTTGTTTATATGTGATGATGAAGGACTAGGAAGAGCCTTTAGAGAATGATGTTATATCTAGAATTTGTGATCTTCCTTGAATGACTAAATAAGGTATCCTAGTGTATGTCTTGAACCGGTAGACCAAGCATGATGCCCCTTCTTGATAAGTCTAGAACCCTAGGTGAATGTAAAGCCTTGAATATGTAAAGAAGGTAAAAGGACGTAAAACCTTGAATAATGAAAAAAGATCAAGAATGTAAAGCCTTGAGTAAGAAAAAAGGTTGAGAATAAGAACCTTGAATATGAAAATAAGGTTAAAAAGAAGCCTTGAAGTGAAAGACCGTAATAGTGTCCTTCTTGAGTGGAATGATGGATTTAGGGGTAGGTTGGCTAGAACGAGATGAAATCATCTCTAAGAATGTCATAAGAGTTATCCGAATAGTTCTTAGTTGGGAGCCCTAGTGGACCCATCCTTGGAAAAAAGGGTATTGTGAGTTGGTAGGGCATACTGATGGTACCTTCTCTAATACACATAGGAAATGATTTACTCTATGAGAACAAAGACAAACCACTGAGTGAATATTCTTGTGGTAGTATCTCTACTTTAGATGAGACTAGAGTACAAAGAAGCCTTTGATATTCCATAGCCATGTGCCAACATGGGATGATTACTAGTTCTACCTTTAGCAAGTGGAACACCTTCCACATTGTGGGGTCTTATGACACCGGATTCCATACCTAGCTAGTGTGGTCTATGTCTTTTATGGCCTATTCTCATATATGGGATGTACACTCTAGTCATTAGATTGGTTCTACAACATATAGGTAGTGGATAGGGCACCATTTATACATTGCACGAATAGGCTTTGAACATGTTAGATAAGTTCCCTCGGTCCTCCAAGACCATTATGTGAAGTCCTATAAATGCTTAATTGTCTCTTAAATGGCTTAATGAATACTTTTAGCTTAATTTAATGCATGTTGAATAGAAATGTTCTAATCTAAGGTAGCTTTGAGGATTGCTTAGGTAGGCTTGAATAGGGTGTATGGGCAGTCTCTTCATGTTTTTACTTAGGTGAGTCTTATAGTAACCTTAGGTGGAGAGTTTAAATGATGAAAAGGGAATAATATTACTTTGAGAAGTCTTAAGGATCACTTAGGTGTGTGTGAAGGAGTTGTATGTGCACTCGCTTCATGTCTTACTTAGGTGGGTCTTAGGACAACCCTTGGTAGGAGGTCTAAATGATGCTTATGTGTATAATTAAGGTTGTCTCTTATGGATTACTTGAATAGATCTTATATGTGAATATTGAATTGAAGAAGGTTCTTATACTTGTTTTACGAGGTTTCTATCAACAGAGCATAAAAAAATACTCCATCCGTTTTCAAAAGGATGACCTAGTTTGACTTGGAACGGAGTTTAAGAAAAGAAAGAAGGCTTTTTAATCTTGTGGTTCTAAATTAAAGTTATGTCAAATGTACCAAAATGCCCTTTAATCTTGTGGTATTAAACATGCCACGTGGAAAGCTAAAGTTAAAGTGTTGCCAAAAATGGAAAGGGGTCATTCTTTTTTAAACAAACTAAAACGGAAATATGTTCATTCATTTTGAAACGGAGGGAATATGATTTAAGGCAAATGTCTATTTTAACATGGTTTTATTGCATGTCCACCATACTTAGTGCATTAAATGTGCTAATTCCATATGTTGTTCTATTTATATAAGTGTAGGTGGCAAGTGAGGAT